CCTGCTGTCCACCTGACCACTGTGGTGGGAGGGGCCAGCCAGAGTGAGGGGCGTGAATGGAAAGGTCACCTGTCATGGTCACCACAGGCGGGGACCTTTCCCCTGGGCCCAGGTGCGTGGGGTGCCCCGCACCCATGGTCAAGAGTGGAGGTGTGGGGACCACACCTGTGGACCTAGGGGGCCCAGGTGGCTGGACCTGGGACCCATCCTCTGAGAGGAGACAGCTGCGTGCTGTGACCAGCTGGCTGTCCCCAGGGGCACAATGTGACTCAGGTGGACATCCACTCCTGCACCCCTGCCACTCTCAGGCCTGAAACAGGACAGTGATTGGGGCTCCAGCAGTCGACACTGAGGCTCAGGGTCCTTCGTTCACAAGTCTCTGGGTGGTCATCTGTGGTGGGTGCATGCTCTGCGGGGTTGAGCTGCACTTGAGGGTCCTTGGTGCAACTGTGATGAAGGGGGCTACCCTGGATTCAGGCGGGGCACCCTTGACCCCTGCCCGTGGGCCACATACTCTTTGGCTGTGTTTCAGCACCTGTTGGGCTCTGCTGCTTAACTTTCAGGTAGTGGGGACAGGCTCTGGCAGGTCCCTCGGCCCAGAGTTTACTCCGCAGGTTGGGGGCCCTGTGAGCCCAGGGTCCGTGACCAGAGGGCAGCATTTCCTCAGAGGCCTGTGACCTGCCTTGTGCTCTGGGCCAGCACCTTCCCCGTCGAGCGGCCCGATCTCTGGGAGCCTGGTGTCTCCCCTGCTCTAGAGCTATCTGTTGCTCGCAACTTTCACTGTCAATTCTCAAGGTCCCAAGAGCTCTAGCTCGGCCCTCCTGGCCACTGCCTTGCACCGGTGGCTCGTTCTCACCCCTCGTGATGTCCCCTGGTGCCCTGACGGCAGCGGGCACAGCCCACACTGGACACCTCGTCATCTGCCTCAGGTGTCCCCCCCGTCACACTCCTCTACTCTGAGAGAGGCCACTTCCTCTGTTCTCTAGCAGCCTCCTCTCCCCTGGAAGGAGCCAGCTGGGAGTGCCCCTCTGCCAGGGCTCACGGCCCCCCACTCGTTAACCTTTATGAGCTGGGTCCTGTGGCAGCCTCAGCCCTCCAAGGGCCCCACCTACCCCGCTAGCACCCCCTGCATCCGTGTCCTAGGGGTCGGACAGGCGAGGGCAGGTCAGGGGCCGCAGAGGCCAGCTGGGGAGAGAACTTTTTGCTTTCTAAAGATGGAGCCTTTGGCCGCTGGGCATAGGGAACCTGCTTCATGGCCAGCCAGGAGGGCAGTCCGTCCAGCGCCGCCTGGGAGATGCCAGCTCACAGCTGTGGTGTGGCCCTGTGACAAGGAGAGTCTGCGGCTGGCCAGCCAGCCTTCTGCACCGTAGAGGGAATGATGAAAGAATGTGGCCAGGGCTGGGGTGTCCTGTGTCTGACACGTGGAGTCGGGTGTCACCCCTAGGCTGGAGGGTTCCTGGGTTATAGTGTGCGTTCCTCCTCCGTGAACCCCAAGTGGGTGATGAGCCCTCTCGGCGCCCCCTGCAGTGTGGGATCTTCCTGTGCCAACTGTTGGGGTGACAGGAGCCCCTGATTTGCAGTTCTGGGCTGTGGCCCCGCCTGCCTGCTTCTGGACCTGTCCTTGCTGGTCCCTGTGTCAAGAGCAGGATGCCCCAGCTGCCCACCGCCTGTGTCCCTGCTCCGCACTGCCCTCGTGGTTTAATGGGGAGATGGTGTCCTTGTCACTTCGTGGAAAGTCAGAGCTGCCTGGGCTCCGTGTGGACTCTGCTCTTCAGGCTGAGGTCCAGTCGGGGCGGCCCTGGGCCTGGACACTCAGAGTTCCCGGGCGGGCGGGACCCTGGAATTTACACTCCACCCTGTGCAGCCGCAGGGGCCCCCAGACCCCCACTGGACCTGGACTTCAGTCACCAAATGCTTGCTCACTTCCACAAGGATAGGGGTTCAGCAGGCTGGTCAGGCATTCCCCGGGGTCGCAGCCTTCCCCTGGGGGCCACTGCCCTGCGTCGGGCTCCGGTGCAGCCACTGGGCTCTGCTGCTGCCCCCGGAGGCCCACACTGACTGCTGTCTGTGATAGGGATGGCATGTGGGGCCTTGTCCCTACCTTGGGGCCCCTCAGGCCCCCTCATTGCCACGTTTCCATGTCTACCCTCCCCTATACTCCCCCCTCCTCACCCCCAGAGCTGAGTTGAGCCACTGCCAGGCACTCCCCTCTTCCATCCTGGGGCATGGCCCTGTCCCTGGGTAGGGGACACTTCTAGGGGCCGGGCACCGTGGAGGAAGGGTTTGAGAACCAGGTCAGGAACTATGGTGTGTGTGAGCAAGGCTCCCCTTCGGTAGTTGGGTCCTGTCTCCCCACCCTGGCCTCTGTGTCTCAGCCCTCAACAGAGACATGGAGCTAACTGAAGGCTGGTGATTTGCTTACACCCATTGACTCCTGAGATGAAGGCCTGGCGTGCTGCCCTGACGCCGCCCCTGGGGCTGATGGATTTGCCCTGGGGGTTCCTGGGCTGCGGGGTTGCCGGGTGCGGGGTCCTGGGCCGTGAATCGTTAGGAAACCCCGGGGTGGCTGGAGGGGTCAGCCCCGCTTTCCCATTGCAGCCCAGGCCACTGTGGGTTCCTGCTGCATCACCTGGGACTGACCTGCCAAATGCACGTGCTGGCTACTGGATGGGGGGGTCTTCTCCCAGCACCCCAGCACTGCCCTTCAGACACAGAGAGGCAGCCCTACTTGGTGCCCACCGCCCCTTTTACAGGAGGAGAAACTGAGGCACGAGAAGGCTCTTGTGTGCGTCTTGAAGCATGTGCCTGCCTAGCCGAGCTTCCTGGCCTGGGGGTGGGGAGCAGGTGCAGTCAGGGTGGGCTTCCTGGAGGAGGTGGTGTTGGGCAACTGAAGAAGAGACAGCACTTGGCTGTGGGGTAGGACAAGGAGAGCATTCTGGGTGGGGACAGTGTGGCCAGCACAAGGGGGACATGACCAGTGTGTGATTTAAAAGCCCCTCCCCACCAGAGTCCTGCAGAGCTTGGAGCCAGAGGGGCACGCAGCTGGAGTGGGCTGTGCGGGGCTTGGGGTACCAGGGAAGTCTTAAGGGGGGGGCAGCAGGCTAGTAAGAGTGACCCCCAGGACCAACCAGATGCTGCCTGGGACGCCTCCCGTGGATTTTCAGCACCCCCCCCCCCCGTATTGGCTCCACTTTTCTCTCAAAGCCCTGGGGGGCCACTGTCTTCTGGGGCACACCCCCACATGTACCCTGAGTCCCTGAGATCCAGGAAGTGGCTCTGGGTTATGCGTGCTCTCACTGACATTGTATCATATTCCTATTAATGTATCTTACACAGACTCCACTTGGCAACATTGTTGGCATCTTCAATGCCACCCTGTTTGCAGAAACAGTGGAGAGTCTGAGGTGTTGGTCTGGCCTCCTGGAAGCTTTGGGGGAGTCTCCTGACTGGAGACTCCTGACTGCAGATGGAGGTCAAGGACACCCCCAGCAGTCATGCTGGGCTTTAGGGGCAGCACCTGAATTGGAGTCTCCCATCTCTCCCCTCTCCATGTGCTGAGGAGTGGGACCCCACAAGAACTCTTCCTGACTGACCCCATCCTCCAGGACCTGTCCGCCATGGTCTTAGACCCCTGCCAGGCCAGGCAGCGAGGGCGGCATGCAGAGTGGCAGCAGTGGGCACAGCCACAGGCCACTGTCCCAGGCAGTGACCCGTGGAGTCAGGGGCTC